GACCCGTTCCCATCTACACAGCCCACCCTCCCCCGTCGACGGCAGCGTGATGCAGTCATCACTGGATGCAACGAGGACCAAACGTGGCGGGGTTGTGGCTCGCATCACGTGACTGGACTACCCTTAACAACGACTTGGGACACGGACAAGGACGTATATTGGGCGTCAAGTCCTCTCTAACTTCTTCGGACTGTTAGGCCGTGTACTGTAAGATATGTTTTCGTATTCACCCGTATAATTAGGCGCAGTGGCGCAAAAGACCATGTGCGACGCGCCGAAAACTCATGGACGGCCGGTACTCGACCAGCTGGCTCAGCCCATTGGAGAGAGCTGCATGAGAATCCATCGTTCATGCACATCAGTGACCGGCCGCACCGGCTGGAGTCTCTCTTGGACAAAATTAAGCACCATCAGACATGTGCGTGGGTGGAGGATTTTTCCAGCAACTAAATTCGATTATAACCGTGTTCACGGCTTCGCCAAAACTGAAACGACAACCTGGGCGGACAGCTGAACACTTGGACCTGCTATGCGTGGCCTTTCAGCGCCTTATTGAGACGCGATTCGTGGCGCACTCGATAGAGGCCATTGAACGAGTTTTGACGAACCGCGATGTGGCCGCAGCAGTGCTCAAGGATGGCATTGCGAGCGGTGACACCGACAAAAGCAATGCTAAATCAGCCCTAAATTACCTTCAGGACGCCAAATTCCTTACCAATGCACTGGCAGTGCTCGACATCATGCGCCCCGCTGTGACGCTTAATAAAGCTGGCCAGGCCGCGACGTACACGGTGCTTGACGACAAGGTGGCCGTGCACCGGTTCTGACAGGACATGACAAAACTGACTGACGCCGACTTCCAGGGTCGTCTGGAGGAGGACGGACCTGCGGTCGTCAGCGGTGTTTTGCCTGGCAGTCCGGCACAGGTGTGTCGCAGGCAACCCTTCTGACGCACACCCGCCTGACACGTCCACCGACATCCTACGGGAAGCGACTTACCGACGGCGTGAGGTTGCGCGGACACTCCTTGCACTCCCAGACCTTGAGAAGTATCTAGGGCAAACTGAGGTCGACAAACTCATGACTGAGATTTTCGACTTCGCGCGCTATCCGACCAACAAAACGGACCTAGAGAGTTACGCTGACGACAAGCTACTGTGACCTCGTGACTCGACTGTGTGACGGACCCCTGACTCTCTCCAAGCCGTGCAGTGTCACATGCCTGGGACCGAGGTGTGCGTGCTTGCTGTGGCAGTTCAGAGAGTTCAAGCGTAGAGTGGTGGCGGAGCGAGAGCGGTTCGGAGACGAGTGGCTGCCCACACGCAGCGGTGTCGTCCGCTGGCTGCCGGAGGCGGCGCTCCGATCATTTTTGCGACCTGAGACAGATCTGCACGCAAATGTTCCGGATATCGCCGAGTTAGTTGAAATATGTCTAGTGCTCAGCCGGTCTCAGGCTGACACTGAAAGAGTTGGTAAAGCGTCAAAATTTGCTGTAGAAGGCCGCTTTGGGGGAAAGCACGATGGCTTGAGGAGCAACGACCAGGATCGTGCTATGAAGGAAATCTGTATAAGGGAGAACCAGGTCCCCTTTCGCTTCTTCCCGGCAAAGAGGTGCACGGATAGGTGGCTAAGCCGGCACCGGCATGCCCTAAAAAAGAAGGCTGCTGACCAGTCCTTGACCGTCCAGCGGCTCAAGCTCAAAGGCAAACGCCTAAAATTTATGTTTAGTTCACGCTAGAGGTCCAAAACTTCGCATAAATTCAGCCCACGACCACTGACTAGTCAGGAACGATAAAGCGTAGCGTTGCGGGCTAAATTTGCGCAAGTCCTACAAAATTTTACGATTTCATCGCGTTTTGCTGTCTTTTGCCGGAAGGAATGATCTAAAACGGTCATTTGCAAGAGTTATTTAGGTTGTCTTCGACACACAGGTGAATCAATTCCCGCACGGGGTTAATTGTTTTAGGAAGCCATGAACCCGAGAAATGAATCTCAACGGTCGATCGATGACCGCGGCGATCGGTCGTTGCGTGCGATCATCATCCGTGTGAATGTGTATTTCTTGTGCGCGGTCATCATAGCTTAGCTTAGAAGGTGCGTTGTTACATTCAGGGTGTGAGTGAGCTTGGAAGCTGGAGAGAATGAGAGATGCAGCGCGAGTTATTGGAAAACAAAACAATGCTCAAGATTTGGTGCCTTTTCCCGCTAGAATGTAACGCATAGCAGAGTACTGAATGCGCCTGCTGGCCAGCCCTTTACGGCTGTGTGTACCTTGTCATGAAGCAGGATATACCACACCACCATATGGAGCGGCAATTGCCCGCTACCCGACCTGCATGTCGACAAGTACTTTGGGCGTATGCTTTAAACACACTCACGAATGGCGCAGGAACGCACGGATCACCGGCATTCAGTGCTCAAATGCACATCGCGGTTGTCAGCAGGCAATATCGAATGTTTTTACTCGACGTCATACTGCCCTATTGCATATGCCACGTGGGCACTCCGTAAAATTTCGGTATTTACCACCGACGGGTACCTGTTGCGAGCGCATAGACCCGATGAGGCTGACACAACGTGAGTGCTCGGTTTCACCTATCCAATGTGATGCGGAGCCATCGCGCAGGCCACCTTTTTTCCTCAACAGCAATATTAACTCGACAACCAGTCGGACATAGTCGTAAGACGCAATGTTCTCAGTGCTCAGCACACTGCGAGTTTAATGCTATGTTGTGTATTATGGGTCAATGCAATCCCACAAGATGAAATAAAACTTTTTCATGTTTATGATGCTACGTCCCTGCCGATTCAAAATGCGTGTATTTGTTAGCCGGGCCATCTCTTACTGGCTCGTAAGTTCATAAGTTCATGAGTTTTTTTGTGAATTTTTCACTTCTATATGCTTTTTTAGGCGTAATTGTTCACTCTTAACCTTAGCTCAAAAGCGATTCTAGCTCCCTGGAAATGTTAAGATTGTTATCTGCGGGTCCTGAACACGATTGACCTGTTACGTTGATGCGGTCATTAAACCTCACCGTTGTAACGCTTCAGCCTTGTGGGTAGCGTTCTTCCTTCCACCAACGCCCATCAGTAAACGGGCGTGAAAATGTAGCTATATTCAGTCGAGGTCCCCTTAACGAAGTGCAGCGTCACGACACTGGTGGTCGGGTCGCGTCCGCTTCTCTCCGACCGTCACTGCCCGTCTGACGCCACCGGCCTCCAAATACTGGAGATGGGGCGTTTTCGAGCCTTCGATGTTGTGCAATTCTAATGCGCATGTGAGCCTGCATGAACCAGCAGCAGAGGTCGCGCTATGTCGCAACCTTTGCAAAAAGCGACTAAGGCTACGAATAACCACATCCAGCTTATCTAATAATTAGCATACAAAGTAAGCAAGCCAATGCATCTGCGTCGAACGAGTTGGTCTAAGCGCGTTGTTTTCGTTAGTGAGCCGAGCGTCCCGCTGACGCGTTGACAATGGCGCAGTACCGACGCGTATTCGGTTACGCGTTACACCGTTCTCTTATTTTGGGCTTCCCGAATAGATCAATACAACTGGGGTTGTTTGAGCGTTTCATTATCGCAAGACTCACAGCCGGAATGCGCTCCAATCACACCAACAGGTATTGGCCCAAAGACCTAGCACTAGGCCTTTGCCTGACTACTGCGTAGCCCCGCATGAACAAAAGACGGCACCGATCTTGCAGTACGACCACGACAGCCCACACGCGGAAGGGGGGGGGGGGGGGGGGCAGCCGGCCGCGGTTGCGTGCCTCGCGCCCAGTCTTCGTGCGCTAGAATCTGGGGACAAAACTACGCTCTTACACATGAAAATGAGAAAACGATCAATATTACCTAGCAATATGGATCCATGTGCCTTGCAACTGTCTGAAATGCCCTGATCATTGTTTTTGCAATGATGCTTTCAAGAATGAGCTAGAAATATTTTGGGCAGTTTTCTAATCATTTTAACCTATAAATTTGCACAGTTCTCTTTCAAGGAAATGAAAAAAACGCCATCGAGGGTAGGCTTGCAACCACGCACATCGAAATTGCCGAAGAATTTAACTCCAAAGCGGCACAACTGAGATTTAGATGTTCCACAGGCGACTTCAGCGCAGATGGCAGCCTTTGTCCCCAACTTGATCCAAATCTGAGCAACGAGGGTGTAAGACACTGGTCGATTTATCGTGGATTTCCCCTTCTTTACCAGACACGCTCAAACCGAAATGAATGGGATTCCAAGCGCTGAATATGATAGGCCATTTGCATTTGCTTCGTCGCTGTCACATGAAATCGTGGCTCACAAATCGTATGACGGTTGAACTTGTTATACGCCGCGAGCCCAATAGACGGTGCTTCGCTCTAATACGGTTAAAGTTCGGTGAGAGAAAGTGACCCAAGAAAAAATCGGATGATTCTGAAAACGTCAAGGTTTTTCTCGAGGCCGATTGGCGGACGGTCCGACAACATATTCAAAGCCTTACTTTGAAAACAATTAAAGTGGCCCTGGTGTACCTCGAACCACACAATTTGGTTAAGCTTTGCGGGAACTGGGAGAGGTTTACAGTTGCTGTACCCGCTCTTAACTTCGGCAACCGCTCCTAACGTATGCATATTGCACAGTGGGTGCGCACGCACATCAATATCTCCAGAACAGCGGCGTGGCAAGTGCGTCTGGAGGAGGCTCCGTAAACGGCCGCTGCAGTGCGGCGGGCGCCACTGAGGCCGGTCGGACGTGTCGCGGTGGCCGGCCGAACGACGCTGTAAGGCCACTCGCCTTCGTTGGGTGGCAGAGGAAGGTTCTGCCGACCAGTAACACGACGGACGTGAAGCACGCGCGCCTGTCCGGCGGTGCAGCGACGGAGCGCGGAGTCTCCGCGAGCCTACCGTGTGCGAGGGCCAGGATCACGGAGTGCGCCGAAAGGAGCGTGACGCGTCGCTGAGCCCGACGCACGCGGAAGCCGCTGGGAGTGCTCGTGACCAAGTAAGCTATCGCGATGGCGGATACGGCAGAGAGCGGCAAGGCCGAGAAGTCCGAGCAGAAGGCGGAGGTGCTCTTCGAGGACGTGCTGGAGCGGTGCTGCGGCACCGGCCGCTGGCAAACGCTGCTCATCGGGTACATGTCCGTCATGTGGCTGCTCTTCCCCGCCTTTTCCATGTCCATGATGTTCGTCGGCGCCACGCCCAAGTTTAGATGCGCCGACGGCTTCGCCGCCAACGCCACTTTCGCCTCGCTGCCGTCCGATACGCCGCGCTGCTACGCGGCCAACTCGACGGCCGCCTGTCAGCGCTGGGCGTTCGACCCGTCCGTGTACGTGTCGACGGTGGTGACCGAGTGGACGCTGGTGTGCGGCCGCAAGCCGCTGCTCTCACTACTGCAGTCGTGGCTGATGATCGGCGCCTTGTTCGGCTCGGTGGTGAGCGGCCAGCTGGCCGATCGCTTCGGCCGGCGGCCCGTCTTCCTGCCGGCCATGCTGCTGCTGATCGCCTGCGCGTTCACCGTCGCGCTCGTCACCGACTACGCCAGCTTCGCGGCCGTGCGCTTCCTGACGGGCGTCGCCATGTCGGCCATGATCAGCAGCCAGTACGTGCTGGTTCTGGAGCTGTGCAGCAGCGAGCGACGCGCCACGATCGGTATCGTCTCAGTCATGCCATTCGCCTTCGGCACCTGCCTCGTCGCGCTCGGCTCGTACCTGATCCGCACGAGATGGCTACTCCAGCTGGCGTACGCCGTGCCGTGTCTTATCTTCCTGTTCAACTTCTGGCTGATGCCCGAGTCGCCCCGCTGGCTGGTGCTGCAGGGCCGGTTCCCGGAAGCGTGTGCCGTGCTGCGCCGGGGAGCGCGCTGGAACGGCCGCCGGGTGCTGCCAGAGGAGGAGGTGCTGCAGCTGATGGCGGAGGCGCAAAACAACATGCTGTCCTGCCAGACCACTATGAAGACCGCCGGCGGCCACGGTCCGCTGCAAATGGTGCTGCAGCTGGTCCGGACGCCGCACATGCGCCGCCGAACACTCATCGCCGTCTTTCTCGGCTTCATCATCGCCGGCTCCTACTTCGGTATCTCGTTCGACACGACTCAACTGGCGGCGAGCCCGCATCTGGCGGCGGTGTTTTCCGGTCTCGCAGACGTTCCCTCCAGCTTAGTGTTTCCCCTTCTGGACCGGCTGGGACGGCGAACCTCGTTGATCCTCCTCCTCTGGCTGCAGGCCGCCGCCATGTTGCTCACCTTCGTGCAGAAGGACACCACGCTCTGGCTGGTACTCGGCGTGGTCGCCAAGATCGGTGCCTCCTCCGCATATAACACGATAATGGTGTTCATGGCGGAACTGATGCCCACCGAAGTCCGCTCGCTGGCGTGCGGCCTGCGCCAGCTGGCGGCGCGAGTGGGCGCCGCTCTCTCGCCGTTCGTGGTGGACTTGGTGAGCGAGCTGCACGAGAGCGCGCCGTCGGCCGTGTTCGCCGGCCTCGCCCTGCTGGGCGGCCTCGCCGGCCTGCTCCTGCCCGAGACCAACGGCCGCCCGATGCCGGAGACGGTGGCCGATGTAGATGGGCAGCCGGTGTCCGCCGCACCTACCGCCGAACGCACCCGCACCAATGGGACGTGCCAGGGCGCTGACGAACCGTGAGCTGGCTGTAGCGGCGTCTCAGTAGACGCACCCGCAGGGCGCACTGATAACACATGTGACCATGACGTGTATGTGATATAATCCATGTCAATGATTCTTTAAACGTACCCCGTTAGCTTAGGTAACTAACCGGGAAAGTTATATTTGAGCAAGTAAACGAAAAGTGATTTGTATTCATTTACCTATTGAGCGTCGTGGCAGAATAATACAATTTAGTGCAGTCAGGACGATGCTGAAAACCTGGCCGAATGAAGCCAAAGCATACAGCAAATAGCCCAAAACAAAGCAGAGTTTAGAGGACATATGAAGCTTGTTATCAGAATTCAGAATCGTAGAGTACGCATCAAAGATATTAAACTTCAAGCACACCGACTAGGTAATGGCATTTGCGTAGGCCAGGTCGATTATCATGACTAGCTGAACCCTTTATGGCAAGAAATTGTGCGCTCCCTGGCAGGCAACAAATCAACTCGCGTCAACGGAAGCGGTGTTTTTATGAAAAAATTATGCTTAGTATTTATAACCATTGACGATGCATTTTCTTTCCGACTCGTTCAATCCTGCCACGAATTTGTGGTAGGCAAAGTGGGCCTCTTAATGTCGCAGTTCTCTACAGCTCAGCGTGGTGTTCACATTGAGGCGAGGTGGGCGCCATGAAAGGATGGAGCTTCACACTTAATTATGCAAAACATGTGGCAAAAGTTTCGTGTTCCCGGGCGCAATTGTGTACCTTTCCCAAACATGTCGTGTTTCCTTTCACGGGTTTTAATTTTGGTTCATGCGCTCATCCCGCCAAGAACTTCTTCGGAAAGGACCGTTTTAAACAATCGTTCAGCAAACTTAAGCACCACCCACTCAACCTTGCGTTAGCGCGTTTAAAGGCCCGCCAGGGATGAAAACGCGTGCACTGGACGCAATGCAGGTCAAGTTTGGCAATCATCCCCATCAAGATCACGCACAGACCACCGACCGTCGAGCATCCGTCCAGACCCGCCTTGAACCGCATTTGTGTCAATAAAGTGCGCTTGCACTGAGTTAGTCCCCTGCGGCTGTCCGTAATCATCGCCGTGCACCATAACACGGGGTGGCAAACATGCTTTGCGCCAACGGCGAGCATGCTTCCGCCGTCAGCGGAAGGCTGACGGCGGAGGGTGATGTATGAGCACCCCTGAGGTCAGTGGTGTGGTCGGAGGGTGGCGTGGGTCCTATAATGCGCCCGTGTGATTTGTGAAATGTTGAAAACAGCAATGAAACCTTTTGGTGTCTCATGTTGAGGCTTTTCATTGAAAGCGTCTTCACTGAAAGCGTCTGTTCATACTTTTACTTTTGATATCGTTATAAAGCTGGGGAATCGCCGGAGCAAAGGTCTTTCAGCAGAAAAAAAAACAATTGAATTCTGCTTGTTTTGAAGGAAGCTGATAACTTCTGGTTCTGTGTTTTCCACTTTTGTTAGCCATCATTCGCCATCAGTTTCTGAGGAAATCGTGTCATCTCGCAATTGCAACAGCTGACATCATTTACATGACCCATCATCTTGCATCTCAGCCCTCAGATGATACAAATTACGCGTGCACATTTTGGATATATCCCAGGAAAGCTATTTTAAAATGTTCTCCTTACTGAAACCTGCGTGATCCAGCAACTAGTAAGTGCAAAGCTAGCCGTATCAAAAGCGTAAGTGGCTGGGTCGGGCAGCTAAAACCACGCAATTTTCGTTCAGTAGATGAGGAGGTTCGCTTAACTTGCGGCCTCACTCACGATGGTGTTTGTATGGGTGGGCACGCGTTTTTTATGGAACTTGGGCCCACTACAGACAGTTTTCTTATTCCCATTTTCCAGACCGAGAGGACAATCCTAATCGCAACAGCGGTGTTTTAATCCCACATTCCAAGCACCTCGATTATTGCCGCTCTTGCGCGCCTTGTCCGGCCGCAAGACTGTCCACTAAGAGCGTTGTAATGGAAGCAGCACTGGGTGGAAAGGGAAGGGGGTACAATATCAGAATTCGAAACCTCAAGCAATGCAGACCTATAAGGGACAACGAACCTTGCTCTTGAACAGCTCACGTGCGGAAATGTCTGTTATCGGAGCACTTAAAACAGGTTGCAGCGGTCCATTTCACCCAGGTATGGCCGAACGAAAACTGGAAAGGAGTAATACAAGTTATACGCGGCGGAACGCGGGACGCACGGTACACGATGACACCCTTTGAGATGTCAAAAGACACTTATTTTGTGTTCGATATATTTTTCAATGGCTTTCGACAAAAAGGTTAGGGGCCATGCGTCTCATTAGTAAACGAAATGCATCGGGACAAGAACATCGACAAGCTGCTTTTCTCAGGGTATTGCAACGCGTACCCCGAGGGGACAGACGGAGAAACATTAGGTTGAATCTTTCCGATCTTCAGCTTACTGCCAGTGATATCACAGCTATAGTCATGTATCCAGGGGGACGCATAGCTCGAGTCGTAAACGGCGGATTTGTCCCGATCAAAACTGGTTTGTAAAGGGGCTATGCATAGGCGGAGGCGCAAGAGCAATTTCTGGGCTTTCTGGAAGATATGAGAGCAAATGAGATCCCTAGCATGCCGATGCAGTGCCATTGGTGCAAGGCATGTGACTGCTTAAATGAAACCACCTGTGATGAATAACGAAACTTTTTTAAACAGATCTCCGGGGATTTGGTGATAACAAAAAGTCGATTAAATGGAGCTATTTAGTCTCTAGAAATCATATTTTAGACTAATTTGAAGGGAGTCACGGACAACAGTGCCACAAATCAGACATACACGTCATTACACACACAGCAAAAACTTGTACAGCCTTTAATGATGCGCGACAATGATTTTACTGTAAAAATGCATGCGAGATATATGAGCTACACGGCGAAACTTACGCTGCAAAAAAAAAACATATCCCTGTCATCACTTGTACAGCAAAAGTTTTATCACACGTTCTTGCTGTAGCACTAATGTCGCGCTTAAGTCTTTCCAGTACAGCACGTGAAGTAAAATCAATGTCGTGTAGAGCACTGGTGGATAAAGGTTTTCCAGTAGAAGCAATAACTGCTAACATTTTTGAAATATGCGTTTCATAGTGTAGCACTTATTTCGCATGTAGGTGTTTGCAGGAGAAGTTCAGTTTTGTATAATTTACAACTGTGTATGTTTTCCCAGCAGAAGAAATGACGAGCATACATTTTCAAAGCATAAGTTTTGTCGTGTAGCACTGATATCGATGATAAGTTTTTGTAGTAAAATCGATGTCGTGAATGAGTAATGACGGTATAAATCTTTGCAGTAGGGAAATTGAAAGGTATCTGTTTTCGCAGTGTAAGATTTGTCGCGTAACACCAATGTTGTGAACTATGTGCAGCAGTTCAACACATTAATGCTAGTATTCTGTAGTACTAATGTCCCGTTTAAGCATTTGTATATGTGAGGTCGTAGCACTCTTCGTCGGCAGAAATTTTGATGTAGCACTAATGGCGTGAAACCAATTTTAAACGGAGCCCCTGGCCGCCAGGTCATTCAAATTAACTTTCTTAGCAGCCTACATCGATGATTATGCTGGAGCATAGACGCACGGGTAGTATATCCCTGTAAGTTTTTTGTGGGGTGCGTGAACAATAAGCATCCTAATTTAGGCTACGATGGAGCATGCTGGGTACGGCAAAGGGTCCCATATTTGGACGCGCTAGTGACGAAGTGGAAAGAAGGACAACGGCACCACGTTAAAGCGGAGCTCTTTATCAAACACAAGCTCTGGTATAATTCTGCACTGCGAATCTGGGTATCCAGCTTCCATTAAGCACAATCTAACTCGTAATATGCCTCCATTTGACTAGATAAGTCATCAGGTCGTACTTTCTGGTGTTAGATTAATGAATAAAAGTACGTAAACAAAACAAATGAAATAGTAAAATGCAACTAAAAACAACCTGAATGAAAACTAAATCACATCTCAATTAGGAGCTTTGTAAAATTTTGTAAAATTAAAGTTTTGTAAAATTAAAGGCACAAATTGCGACCATAAATCAACGATGACCTACCCCATTGTAGAAAAGGTGACCACAGGTTTCAGGCAATGCCAGTAGCGAAAATGGATTGTGGACATGAAACTCGCAGGAGGCTTGCCAGAATCTTCTGTGGCAAAATAAGCAAGTTCTCAGGGACGTGGGAGGATAAACAAGCTCGCAGAGCACAACGCTCAGAGGAAGTAAATCAGTGGCGGTGCTGAGGGATTTAATAATGACCAACCCCGCGTATGGTCCCCGCAACCAAGCGTGCAGCAAATCCTTCCTTTGCGCTATTACCCATCTCTAAGTGACCTTGACAGCCCCGCCGAATCGATCCAAACTCTGCGTTGTCTTGTGCTTGCGTGCTCAGGGAGCGGGAAGGCACATTACGAAGTGGGTCATTTCCCGTGAATAGGCCTGCTAACCTCCAAATCACTGGCGGGATGAAATTGCTGTACTGATAGGTAATGACAGGTCTTAAACTTAAGGGTGGTTTCTGCTCATATAAGGTTAATAAGTATGCTCCGCCTATTAAACTGCCGGCATGCGGCGACATTCACCTTGTCGCCAAATAAGGACAGCTGTCGCCGGGTGTGAACGCTAACTGGATGCCACGTATGTGAGTAGATTATAGCTTAGGTCAGTTTTATAAAAATAAAAAATACCGTCGCTCCGTGCCAAAAAATAACTCAACCGAAAAAATTTCCTCCGCTTACCGAGTTTTATAAACGGTCCTGACAACCGACATAAATTTCACCGTCGACGACTTTTTTAGACTCGAAATAAGCTGTTGCTTATCAGAAGCACCAGATGTTATTTCGCTGGAAACAAACATTTTTGATTTCACAATATTGCAAAATGGTGGAACGGTGTAAATGTCATTTAATCTGCTATCTTCCTGTGTTTGAAATTAAGTTCAACAACTGCGTTAAGTATGTCATTCATTGCTTTTATATGTCAATAAAATTTAAAAATCTGCA